ACAAGAGTTAAATAAAGAACATTGGAGCAACGTCAAGTACATACCACTCGATGATATGAGATGTTAAAAATCCTGTGAGCCGATACATTCTTGCCTAGTGAGATACGAGGAAATCCCACGGTTATTTCTAAATATAACTATATACGTATATGTGTGTAACAGTCATAATCATTTTATTGAAGTGACTAATTATCTGGGAAATCTTTTACGTAAAGTGCTACACAAAAATCCGAACGTCCGTCGAGATAGCGAAAGATTTCTTCCAAAAGCTAAGCAAAGTATTAAGAAACAGGAAAATTTTGTTAGAAACAAAAAAGGGTGCTGAACATTTATGTAACATCAGTCCTCCTATATATCATTGAATACTGATCTATGTCTTCAAGAATGAAGAAGAAATTCGATGTGCTGCAAAACAATTCTACAGAAGGATGATGAAAATACCATGATGAACTAAACATGTGCGTAACGATGAAGCGTTAGAGGAAATGGAAACACAAATGCTTATGCTTAACATGAGAAAGAGACAGTTGACATTTCTAGAATACGTAATATAGAAAAGGGGACTTGGAAAATTTGAAACTCACGGGACATATTGAAGGCAAGAGAGACAGATGAAAACGGCACACAATTTACCCCACGAGCTTGTGTAAATCGATGGAAGAACAGGGTTTAAGGGAGACAGAAAAAGACAAAATTGACTGTTTTTTATTAGTGCAAGTTTTCCCCATCAAACCGATTTATAGCAATTAAAAAAGGTAATGATCAGTTGGTGCAGGTTTAGTCGAAATATAGGATGGGAGAAAAACAGATCCACCGAGTCTCAATTTTTTTCTTGTGTTATTCTTAAGCTTACGGTATCATGGAGGAGAAAGATATTTCTTCTGTTGAGGAGCGCAAGATATTTTCAACCAAACCTTTAACGACACATTGCAGCTACTGGACATATAAATGTGCATTTAGTGTGCCATTGTGTTTTAAGGACGCTAAATGAATAATACCCCGACAATCCGACCACATACACAATATTGCCATTCATCCATAGAGCTCAACTTTTGGGGTCGGTTGTAAAGATTTCTAGGGAAAATTCTTTTTATTTTGAAATATTGCATTAGTTTAAATAATTATTGTACGTGATTTTTTAATCAAATGTTTTTCTATATTTATTTAGACATTTAAGACTTTTCCTGTTTATGTAGAATTGCTTAAAAAGAGTCAAGTCGTGTAGGATAATATTCAGCTCAAACATCCAGCCAATTGGCCGACCAAAAGAAGCATAGAAGCACATATTCGCCGACTTTATATTAATATATATAAGCGAGCCTTGGCTTATGGCAAACGATAACCCAGAATTTTGAGGTTAGACAAAACTTCAGTTCTGTATTCGTGAATATGCAAACAGACGTACTTGCTTTCACGTTATTTTGTAAAATGACCTACATAATAGTATGCTGATATTAGTGGTTTCCTTATAAAGAAACATTCGGAATTTATTGGTCGAGCAACCAAAACTCTTGTCGGTTCAAATTTATATAATCTTACTCTTAAAATAATATTTTCAGAAAAATAAGTCCAGTAGCTGTTATCGCTCTTGCCAGTATTCATGGGAGTTTCCTTACTAAAGTTTTGTTTGAAGTAGTGGGGAATGTTAGAATCTTGATTATGTCATTATTTTCTCTTCGGGTTGAATGTGCTATCCAATTTAGCTGTTGCTGCTGTTGGTAGTCCTCAAGTAATGTAGTCCCTATTATTTGGTGCAGTTCTTTGTTTGCGATTCTGTAGCGCACGTCTACAAGGTCTGAAGAAGTGTGGTCTTAGTGAAGACTCATAGGCTTCTTCCGTTCAAAGCCATTTTAACCGGTGATCTTCGAAAGCGCTTGTATACAGGTGATAGTTTAGAGATTTCTGATTGGATCTGTCGCCATATATGATATCTATAGGAAAGTTTCGTTGTGACGAGGCTACTTATGAATATGACTTTGAGAACAGCCTAATGTTTTGGTTTGGCCGTGAAACTACACCTAGCACAGACTATTCTATGGTCAATTTCCTGATCTCTTAAATTTGTTATAACTCAAGTCATTAAAACACAATAGTATTATATCCTTTGTTCATTTCGCCTTCAGCTTTCTTGATGTTTTCTTTTCAATTTTCGCAAAATACAAACATTTGATATTAATTGCCAAAACATTTATTTTTAATAATGTCTTTCGCAAAATACAAACATTTGATTTTCGAACCTGGTGCTAGATGGGCAACCTCTTTGTAATACATTTATTTCAGGCATAATGTTGAAAATCGGTTCTTACGATCACCGAAGTTAAACAAAAGTACCGATGGGCTTTTACGACCTTGGATGGATGAGGCATATCGCGTTGAAAAATCGGTTCTCGTACGATCACCGAAGCATCGAACCTGGTCACTAGCTAGATGGGCAACCTCTTTGTAATACCAGCCGCTGTAAGCTTGGATGTGCGGAGGGTATGGCATACAGGCGTATTACGTTGAAACATCGGTTCTCGTACGATCACCGAAGTTAAGCAACGTCGAGCCTGATCAGTACCTAGATGGGTAACCTCTTTCAAGTACTAGATACTGTAAGCTTGGACGTGTGGAGGGTATGGCCTAGAGGCATATCGCGTTGAAACATCAATTCTCGTATTATCATGTCGAGCAATGTCGAGACTGCACCGTCGAGTTTGTTGCTCAGTACCTAGATTCGCGACCACTTGGGAATACCAGGAGCTGTAAGCTTGAATGGGTGCTTGGTATAATGGGTATTAACTCTAAATTGGAAATCGGAGAACCGTGTTCCAATACCAGTTGAACCTGGTCGTTATATTCAGATAGGTGTAAACCACCTGTGCTTTTGCGGAAAGGCACGAATCCAAATCTCCTCTCCTAGTTATTGGTTAATTAGTATGACTTTTTATATTTTCTGGCTTTAAATAATCCGCAAAAGATAAAAAAGCCCTAAAGTTAAATTAATCAATTAATAAAAAAAAACAAAACCTTTATTGATTCTATAATTTGTTTTTTTTTTTCATCGCTAAAGATACTTCCAAGAGTGAAACAATTTAGCCAAACGCCTTCACCTGAGTATCTTATTAAGTTGAGTAAACAATTATTACTTTAAGCATTTTAACCTTTGCTATATTATTGTATAAGATTAATTTAAACTTATTATATACCTTATATGAAGGCATATCGCGTTGAAAACGGTCTACGATCAAATTTCTTGGGATCTTTGCTTTCGACTTATGTTTGGCATTTTTACCTTTTATTGAAACTAGAATTTTTTGGCAAACACTGACACATGTATAAATCCTCAAAGTATTTCGTATTGTTGAAGTTAATTTTTGTCGAGATTTACAAACTCAACGTACCATTCAATTTCGCAAACCAATCGATCAAATATAAAAAAAAAAAACTTAAAGAAAAAAAAAGAAAAAAAAACAACAAAAAAATTATTTTAATCATTAAATTGTTTTTAAAACAGTGGGAGCATTTTGTATGTTAAATAATAAAAGTTTATTTTTTCCAAAAGATTAATTAAATTTTTTTGTATTAAGCTACACACCCTAGTAAAATTAATTGTCTTTGTACCTCCTTACCTGTTTGCACATCTCCCCCAAAATTTGGTTTCTATCGGTCAATGTATGGATATTTTAGTGGGTGTGGCGGACGGACTAACGATCGAAGTCGAACCTGGTCAAGCTAGATGGGCAACAGCCGCTGTAAGCTTGGATGTGCGGAGGGTATGGCATACAGGCGTATTATGTTGAAACATCTGTTCTCGCACGATCAATTTACCTAGATATATAGATTGTTTGGTCGTTATTCTATAAACGTTAAATCGCGTTGAAAAATTCGTACGATCGGAAATCGAACCTGGTAGATGGGCAACTAAATTTCCAAAGATATTTTAACTCACATCCTTGGTAGCCTATTTTATTGTAACAATGTCGTGACTGATTTAGCTAGGAAGGCTTCATCAAGAGATGCCATTCAAATATGCTACCATACTAAATCAAGTATTTTTGCTTTTTGTTGTTGTATTTTTGGTGGTGGTGGTGGTGGACGTGTGGTGGTAGCGCGTTGACGTTACGATAGCATCGAATTTGTAACTTTGCTGTATGACGGAGGGTATGGCATACAGGCGTATTATGTTGAAACATCGGTTCTCGGGGACGAGCCAGGTGGCAGTCTCTTTGTTATGGTGATGGCAAACTGTCCTCAGATATTTACGAATCGGTTTTTTTCCCGTGAAGGGAAAAGACCGATTGGATAACTAAAAAAGATGAATTTTAAATGCCGTCATATATTACTGTATGAATAATTTAATACGAATATATTTCATACTTGTCATGTTACATTTATGCTGTCATAATGTCAACGATCGTAGAATAACAATCCGTGTGATACAATAAAATGCAATAAATATAATGCGAAAGAAGAAAAAATGATGTTATTTTTTTTTTTTTGCGTCGTCTTAAATTTTGTCTTTCTTTCAAACTTGCGTTTCGAAATTATGAAGACACTGCAAAATATGTGAATAATCGACAGTATGAGATACAAGAATTTTTCTCAATAATATTTTAAATGTCTGTTTGCGTTATAGATAAAAAATAGATATCTATTATCCAGAAGTCGGTGTCGATTCCATATAATGGACATAATATCGAATGATGATTTTCTAAGAAAGAAATGCTCACAGACAATTGGAAGATTGGCGCAACATAGTAATTCTTCTTTCCAATTTCTCAATTTCGTTTTTGTACTGTCCAAAGATTGAGTCAGTAAATATAGTGTCAAGTATTTGTACAGTCGGGAATGGAGCTCTAGACTGGTAGACAATAAAAACGCATAAACTAATGGAGAAGAGAAGTGACGTAGACTAGTAGAGAAGAGAACTGACGTATACTGGCAGAGAAGAGAAGCGCTGTAGACTGGTAGAGAAATGAAGCGACGTAGACTGAAAGAGAAGAGAACTGACGTAGACCAGTAGAGAAGAAGGACAACGTAGACTGGCAGGGAAGAAAAGTGGCGTAGACTGGTAGAGAAGCGTAACTGAAGGAGACTGGTAGAGAATTGAAATATTCTGGTAGAAGAGAGAAGTGATGTAGAACGGTATTAGAAGAGAAGAGGAACTGGTAGAGGAGACTTTAGACTGGTAGAGAAGAGAACTGACGTAGAATGGTAGAGAAGAGAAATGACAGAGTCTGGTAGATAAGAGCACTGATGTAGACTGGCAGAGAAGAGAACTGAAGGAGACTGGTAGAGAATTGACATTGTCAGGTAGAGGAGATAAGTGACGTAGAATGTTAGAGAAGAGAATTAAGGAGAGTGGTAGAGAATAGAACTGACGTATACTGGTAGAGAAGGGAAGCGACATAGAATGTTAGAGTAGAGAAATGACAGAGTCTGATAGAGAAGAGCTCTGATGTAGACTGGTAGAAGAGAAATGACAAGAGACTGGTAGAGATGGAAAGTGACGTAGAATGGTAGAGAACTGCCGTAGACTGGAAGAAAGAGAACTGACGTAACTTGGAAACCCAAAATAGTTTTATAAAATAAGAACCGATGTAGACCACGAAAGATTAGACACCGCCGTAGACTGCCACTGAAGATGACCGACCTAGTAAAGTGGAGAACCGATGCAAACGCATGTCGAAGAGAACCAGTGTAAGACATGTAAAGACGACATACGGGCGTATTGTGGTAGAGAAGTGGAACTGATGTAGAACGTTAAAGAAGAGTCACCGACTGGTAGAGAAGAGAAGCTGGTATTCGAGTTCAACTAAAAGGCTAGAATTACGATTGCTGATTTTCTGGGCAAGCGCTCATGCGTACCTGAAGTAGAATCTTCGTCGTCTCATTTAGTTTTGGTAATATCTCACGTACATACAAACTCTGAAATAAGTTCTCACTAATTGCAATAAATATAATGCGAAAGAAGAAAAAAAATGTTATTTTTTTTTGAATATCCCCACCACACACACACACACACACACACACACACACACACATAAATGCGCGCACACACACGCACACGTACAGGCACAAAGAATTTGCTATAATTGAAATTGGCTCTGCGGGTGTTGAAGAAATATAAATGTGCATCTGCAGGCGTCTGCAACAGGGATTATCAAGCTCCCCTAGCAGAACGCGGAAACGAGTGCAACGATTCGTTCACCTTTATAGAAATATATATATATATATATATGTATATATATATATATATATATGTGTGTGTGTGTGTGTGTGTGTGTGTATGTGTGGAGAAAGACAGAGAGAGTGACGGGTCTTTATATTTAAGACCGACGTTTGTATGTTTCCATGACCTCCACAGACAGTGATACCAATTTCGATGACACGCAACACCTCCAACTAAAAAATGTACTTGCGGCAAGCCAATTGTAAAAATGTAATTAATTAGAACAAAACAATTTGGTAGTCAGTGAACGAAATTTTTATTTCTTTCAGATTTTCCTCACATGGTCTAATGACTAAGACATAGATGGCCTTGAGAACATATAAATGGGTATTTTTATTATTTTCAAAATATTATTATTAAAGTTTTGTAATAAATTTTTGGCTATATTTTATTTCTTTGAACTGTATTTTGTAAAGGAATTTCAGTTTAATAAAAGTATTCCTAAATTGAGCCGACCGCGGATAACTGAAACCGTGGCTGCCTATTCCGCGGATGCAACGCAATGAATGTCCGGTTTTTCAGGACGAGAGAATCAGTAATGAAACCCAACCCTGATTCTGAATAGAGTAGATCCTCCTTTCACTAATTCTCCTCTTCCCACTTCCCCTGGGAACCATTATGCCCAAAACATGCAGACTTTTCCTGGTTTAATGTAAACTTCGGGTTGATTTACTCTTTTTAACTTTTCTATCGGGACAAGTTCCTACGTTGCAATATCCACAGAACTACGTTGTCGGAGAAAGCTGAAACCTCCCAGTTGGTTAGTCGCACATTACGACTTCTTAGAAAAACAAGACCTCCAATAGTCTAACAACAATTTTCTGGAACCCACTCAAAAGGATGAAATAGCATTTGGCATTTGGTAAATAGAATAAGAAAAGTCCATCAGTGTGCAGTAACATTCTTCTTCTTTATGTGCCACTCCCCCCCACCATCACCCAGGACCTAGGCGATCATGCCTCTTCCCAATTGCCTGTCCTTTGTAGCTCCAAGTAAATTTTGTCTTTTCGTTATTTCTCCTAAACCATGATTCGTCATCCATTAACTCGTCAAGTATGTTATACGTTGTTTTCCTCTGTCACTCTTGCCTTCAATCTATCTTGTGAGTATCAGATTTTCCAAGCCTTCCTTCCTCATTACATGCCCCAGAAATTTCAATTGTCTCTTCCTGATGTTAAGTATAAGTTTCCCTTTTGTTTCCATTTTATCTATAAACTCGTCGTTGCTCACATGTTCGGTCTATGGTATCCTCAGTATCTTTCTGTAGAACTACATTTCTGTTGCTTCAAGTCTCTTCTTCATCTTCGAGGAGATTGTCCACCATTCACTGCCATATAGGAGGATAGATATCATGTAACACTTCAGTACTTTTTTCTTTGTTTCTAGCGAAGCTTCTCTGTCTCTGCTTAGCTTTTGGAATACAACTTTGGCTCTCCTAATTCGTCTTCAGATTTTTATATAGCCCCCTCGTGTTGGGGGTCACTGCTGGACGACGGCGTCAATTCCATAATAAAGTTGTATTATTCTCTCACGGCCGGTGATCGCTCGTTGTCATGAGATACAGAGGAACCTCGGTTCTCGAACGTCTCGCATGTCGAACAAATCGGTTTTCGAACAGAAAATTTGAGATGAAAATACCTCGGTAATCGAACAAAATTTCGGTTCTCGAACAATATTGCCGAACCCGAACGGAATCATTTCTGAATCGATCGCCGTGTTGTATATATTCGTGTGCTGTGCCGTGCTTCTCTTTTCCAATTTTATTGTACTGTGACTCTTTTTCTCTACATTGATTCCTATTGGGAAAATTGTTTCGGTTTACGAACATTTCGGGTTACGAACATTTCGGGTTACGAACGGTCTTCAGGAACGAATTAAATTCGTGAACCGAGGTTCCACTGTAAAAGAACTTCAAACACAGGGAATTGAAATTTAGCTATTTTATTAACGTCGATACATCTTTTAACTAGCCAGTCTGATGAGTAAGGGGCTGGGGTATCAATTCAAAACCACAGTTGGCTGATTCTTCTAATTCTTCTACTGAGCAGTGTGAACGGACACATTATCCTGGAGCAGGAACACAACTTCCCTCTGTTTATCGACTTGTTTGCTTCCATCAGTTGTCTTAACTCTGATGCATAGTACTGTCCATTAATAGATTTTCCCTTTTCCAGGTAGTCAGGATTACATCTTCAGACCACTACTTCACAGTTTTATAGGAAGGTGAGTCCTCAGCAAGTGTCAATAACATGTCCTCATGAATTTTCTTGAGTATCATAACTTTCCTTTGCAGATACTTTTTAACCGTTCGAGATTCTGTTTTGTCCATTTTCAGATTTCTCGCACATCTCACACCTTTGTATTGACGTCGCCTGAAGAGAAATTAAAACAGAACTCTGAATTAGTTTTTCTAGTTTTATAAGGTTTAGTATGTTAGCACAATAAAAATGTTCAGCTATAGCTCTTCTTTCTGGGTGAGGATTTGAACATTTTGAACGTCCCTCGTGTATATATATATATATATATATATATATATATATGTATATAAATAAAAAGAAAGAACAGTAAGATATAAAATCCGGTGTTCTTATAGATATTTTTATTTTTACAAAATAGTGCTCAATGTAAATTTACAGAGCATTAATATTATAAATTAATTGATTAATTGCGAAAAAACCATATTTTAAATCAATTAATTTTATATATATATATATATATATATATATATATATATATATATATATATATATATGTATAGGTGTGTATGTATGTATGTAAAACGCAATTACTTTCCGAACAGCTTAATGTTACTATCTGACAAATCGAGTAACTCTAGACGGACAGTGAATAAAAAGACTTGTCGCAGTACAAATGTAATTCTTATCGCTTTGTTCGTCAAGCAAAACTGTCCAGATCAGCGTTTGTCAACTCAAAATGCAGTTGTCTGATAAAATTGCTCGATTGCTGAAATTTTCGTAAAATGTTCTTAATCTAAGAAACTGGAGATTACAAGAACGTAAGATAAAATCTAGAAGTTGTCATTCTATCTTGCGACATTCTTTAATGTCGACTCTAGTCTCTGATTGCATACAAGGCACCAAGATTCTTACCAAGAAATGTGTTTATAGACTTATATCGCAGAATAACGATTTGAGAATTGCAATAAAAAAACAACAGAAAGAAGATGCAAAACAGTAATTGCTAATAATGAAAATCTTTCATCTAAGACATTCGGAAAATTTAAGAGGATTAATTCATATTGTTTGGCTAACTGTCCTTCTTGTCTCATAATTGGCGTGAATCGTGCTTGAGCGGTCATATTGTTATATATTTGAACCTTTCCTTAAATTCAATATTTTAAACCTTTCTTCTTGATCAAGACAATAGTTTCGTCTTCACAGAGAGGGTAGTCTTCTGGTAGACGCTAATAAGACAAAATCCGTCATTAGAGACAGCCTTTTGCAACATGATATCTTGGAAAAGACAGCCTTTGTAATATCGAATAGCTTTCCTTTATAAATTCAGAGAGAAGACATGTAACACATTTCTATTCTTTGTGAGCATGTTTTCTATCTAGAAAATAAAAAAATCATTCTTTTCCGACTTCTTCGTAGCCGTTCTTGTTTTTTAATATAAATGTTTCGTTAATTATTTGCTTTCTGTGGTCAGATACCGCCAATGTCGACCACAGATATTTGGAGACCCAACTTTATTACTGGTTATAAACAGGAATAAACTGCAAGAAAAACTAGTCTAAAAATAAGAACAAATTGGTTTTAAGAATGTCACAAAAATGATTTAAGATAATTTTAAAGTGGGATAAGCAAGAAATGTAAAATATTCAGCAAGAAGATATTTGAACAAGATGGTGTTGTGAATTTAAATAGAGAGCAAAGATACAGAATAGTACATTGGGTAATGGCAATGGTGATATTAGTTGTTTCCTTATAAGGAAACATGCTACATTCATTAATCGGGCAGCTCGTACTATCTGTTGATATTTATAATATATTTCTCTTAAAACGATTTTTCGGGAAAATAGTTTTTTTTTAAGTCCGATAGCTGTTATAGCTCTTTCCAGTAGTGATGGTGGTTTCCTTCCTAACCTTTTATTTGAAGTGGTGTGGAAAGTCAACATCTTGATTATGTCATTATTTTCTCTTTGAGTTACATGTGAT